ATAATTCAATATATCTTTTTTGGTCATTTTATATTAGGGTAAATTAGTAATTCAATAAATAGTTTGGTAGTAGGGTGTACTCAGTTAATTTCATGGTTCGTTTAGCAGCACTCAACAAATCATTAAACTGTAAGTTGTATTATTGTGTAAAAAGACAAAAAAGTCGTCCAACTTAATACTTAACCCTAGTACATCTATACACACACCCCACACACCCCACCACTCTTCATATTAAGTTTTACAAAAATACAAACTCCTATTGTCAGAGACGTAGAACATTGACAAGCATGCCTCTTTAAAATCTGCGTGGGAGCTGATGGAAAGACTTATTGATTGTTTGGCTGTAATGATCTTATTCTCTTCCCTTTGTTGATTGCATTTTTTTTTAATACCTGATGTTTTGGTAAAACTGTTCTCTTTCTCTAGAAAGTATTAAATTTCAAATTTGGTGTTCCATTTGTTTGTGTTTTTTTTTGCTGGGTACAGTAATATTATTGTCACTTCTGGAATTCCAATATGCATCTAAAATCATAATCCTGCTGCTGCTACTTCAATAGTTGGGTTATTTTTCTTGTTGCTTTTCCACTCTGATAAAAGCTTCAATGTATTCTCCATTGGTTGGTGGCCAATCAGATGGCCTACTCCTAGTGCAAAGTGTCAATTTAATATTAGAACTATCCGGCAACATTCAATCGTTAAATTGACACTTGCTTGCAGCAAATGAAACGTCAATATTAGAATCAATTTGTTCTCTAGGTATCAGCGGTAATATTATTGTCACTTTTGGAATATCAGTATTGGGTAGCTTGAATTTTTCTTCATGTTATACTAAGGGTAGCTTGTGGGGTTTAAATAGAAAATTTCTTTTATTTTTTATTTTTTCAGTTTGGGGTGTATTTAAGGGTTGTTTGGTAAGATAGTGGGGTTTTCTTAGAAATTATGAAAATTTAAATTAAAAGTTGGGGTGAACTTAGAACATGGGGTGAACTAAGAGAAGTGTGGGGTTTGTTTGGTAAGATATTGGGGTTTTCTTAGAAATTATGAAAATTTAAATTAAAAGTTGGGGTGAACTTAGAACATGGGGTGAACTAAGAGAAATGCGGGGTTTAAATAGAAAATCTATTTACTTCAATATTTAGAATGAAAATAAGGCAATATAAGGGGAAATAAAAAAACAAGAAGGTAATAAGCAGGCTTACTTGGGCCGGAACATGGGCAAATCTTATCAGGTTAGGCCGAGGGTTGGTCGAAGGTTTCAAAACCTAAGACTAAGCGCTACCCAACCTTAAA